AGAAAGTTTCAAATCATTATCTTCACACAACTTGTCAACATTACACTTCGAGCGCCCTGAAAAAAATTGATTATCATGAAGTGGATTACCATCAAACAACTGTAACTCAACTTTAGGCAAGTTTAGTAACCCAAGGAACTGTTCACGGGAAAGGTCACCGTAAGAATTTGATTTGGGTGAACCGGAATGCTTAGGATCAGCCTCAATTTGCATAAAAGAAATACCTTGAACTGAGCCAAGAACTGATATGTCATCATCTTTTTCCTTATAGAAATAAGCATCACTGGTATCAGTATCATCTTTCTCTGTAAGCAATGTATGGTAATTGTTGTGAGCCGATGTGTATACGCTTAACAAATCTTTAAGTTTAGCAACATGATCATCAATGAGAGAGAAATTATCTTTTGCAGTACATTGTCTTACCTGATTGGCCTGTTTGGTGACCGCTCTCATGGCTGATGTCCTGGCCGTCGGTTTTCAGCTGCACTGCTGTCGCCATGTCTCGATGACCCCCTCAGCTACCGTATATGGACGACTGTACCCATGCACCAGGGCGAGGTTCACAACAAGGGCTAGCTGGTCGATAGCGGTGACTGGAGGGAGGGAGCGATGACCAAATGAAGCCCGGTTGACGGAGACTATCTTCAGGGATGAACTGAATAAGGGCTGCCGATTTTGTAACTGTCATGGGTGTACGCACACACCAAATGATGGCTCAAGTCTCCGGTGACGCTGGGATGTCTACCCCTTCAATTTAACTCAACTCTGTAAAGAGTAGGTGAAACTGAAATAAAATAAAGTTAACACGTTTACTTATAAGTTGGAAGTTATGAAATTACACCACAAAAGACACAAAATACAATTTGGATACAAGGTAACAATAACTACACGAGGCCTAATTGACAAGACTGGACATTCCAAGTATCAGCCAGGGGCGGCGGAAAGCTTTTCAAACTGGGGGCAACACCAAATAGAGGCACTTGCTCAGAAAAAAAAGGGCACCTTCCGTCAGTGTGAAAAGGGAGGGAAAGAATATGGTCCCATTTATTTCGCTACGAACCTATATGACGAAGAACAAATTATGAATACGTTGTCCATCTTGATCTTTGTGTTTCTTTACTAGTTATGTAGAGAGGGGCACTGTAGCTTTTGATGACCCGTTTAGTAACCATTTTATTCGCGTGAAGAGCACTTTTATTTTTCTAAGGTGCCAATTTTCCATCTCGAGAGGGGCACAATTTTATTTTTGCAAGAGGGGTATTTGTGCTTTCGAGGGGTAGTTTTCAATCTCGAGAAGGTGCACAATCTTGTAAATGCAAGAAGGGTACTTGTGTTTTTCAGGGGCGGTTTTGCATTACAAGAGAGGAAACAATTGCATTTGTAGCGCGATCATTATGCTTTCATACGTGTGTGTTTGATCATGGGCAGTTTGGTTTTCATCTTTAGGGGGAACATTTATAACCGTGAGAGGGACACTTTTGTTGGCCAGGGGAAATCTGGGGGGTAAGTGCCCCCTGCCCCCCGGTTCCGCCGCTCCTGGTTTCAGCAAATAATGTTAGCATGTACAACAGTGTCTTCAATAACCATGAACACATTCCAATGTCGAACTTACAAATCGTATGCAGGGTTGACGTCCCTCTAAATCCACAGAGTGAGAAGTTACAACAGGTGTACAAGAAGTTATGCAGAAGTTGCAGCAGGATTCTGGGGTTACAGCGGTGTTCTGGTGAATCTTTACATCTTTCAGCGGCGTGTGACGAAGACTGATACCGAATTAAAATTTCCCAAATTAAAGTATCAAGTGAGTTCACGTGATGACCTCATGTCGCAATGCTATTGGTTGAGCAAGACCCTAGCTATGGCCTGAAATTCTACACGAATTAGTTGATGAATAATAATATATTAACATGATAAAGAAACATGACGACATGACATTTTATGCAAATTAAACTCAGTTGAAGAAACTTATCAGCGCCGATAACAGGGTTTGTATAGTCTAAAGCGTCTGGCGTACGTTGTGACCATGCAGGCGCGGTTCTAGAGCCTAAATTTGTTGGGGGTGTTAGCAAAGGTGGATCCTGAAATTATTGCAGGGAGGCGTGCTGAAATGTAGACCGTTTTTTTTTCACCGGACATTTTGCCTCCGAAATCAATAGGTGGGGGAGGGGGAGCGCCTCGATCGTACCGTATTTTGAACGGGGAGCGCTGAAAAATCCTACAGTCAGCCGCACTATATTAAATCTACACATGCCCAATTCTCACTTATACTACAGCTACGCTTCTGAGAGACATGTACGTTATTTTCATCAATACAATTTTCAATTGTTCGATTTATCAATTAACTGTGCACGTGACAGGAAGACATGTACTCGGGGGCGAAGCGTTGAACGATTATCATAATGATTAAATGCTTTGATCGATTGATATGTCATAAACTTGTTATTGATCTGTTATTGACTTCTGAATTGTCGGTCATTGACTTAAGATTAAATTGTGATTGACTCGTGATTGATCTTTCATTGATTAGTTATGAATCTATAATTGACTTCGGATTGATCTATCATTGATTTGTGATTGATCAATCGTTGACTTGTGATTGATTTGTCATTCACTTGCGATTGATCTGTCTTTAACTTTTGATTGATCTGTCATTGAATTATAATCATCTGTTATTAACTTGTGATTGATCTGTGATTGACTTGTTATTGATCTGCCATTGTTCTGGCACTGCCTTATAATTGATCTGTCATTGAGTTTTTATTCATCTGTCATTGACTATTGATTGATCCGTCATTGCCTTATGATTGATCTGGCATTGACTTATGATTGATAGGTCATTGAGTTATTATTCATCTGTCATTGACTTGTGATTGATCTGTGATTGACTTGTTATTGATCTGTCATTGACTTATGATTGATCTGTCATTGAGTTGTTATTGATCTATCGTTGACTTGTGATTGATCTTCCATTGACTTGAGATTGATCTGTTATTGACTTTTGATTGATCTGTTATTGACGTATGGTTGATCTGTCATTGAGTTGTTATTCATCTGTCATTGACTTGTGACTGATCTGTGATTGACTTGTTATTGTTCTGTGATTGACTTTTTATTGATCTATCATTGACTTGTGATTGTTCTGTCGTTAACTTGTGACTGATCTGTGATTGACTTGTTATTGTTCTGTGTTTGACTTTTTATTGATCTATCATTGACTTGTGATTGTTCTGTCATTAACTTATGATTGATTTGGGATTGACTTGTTATTGAACTATTATTGACGTATGATTGACCTGTGATTGACTTGGGATTGATCTATCATTGATCTGTGATTGATCTATCGTTGACTTGTGATTGATGTCAGACTGTCACTGACGTGTGATTGATATGTCTTTGACTTGTGATTGATCTGTCATTGACTTGCTTACGTGATTATTTCTACATTTTTTCTCGAATCACAATTTGCCTGTGTTTTCTATTCTTCCGATTGGAAGCGAATTAATTTCAATTAAAAACACGTCACATGAAAAAGGAAAAACCATTGAGCAGAAATCAATAAAGTACAGATTAAATAAATTAACGGAGTTCGGTTCCGCTCGGTGGACCAACTTACTTCCAGTCCCAGAGCAACAACAATTAAGTTATACCGATGCATGGAGTGTTTACGTATTGGCGGTGCAGGTGCGTATTTGTGCACTTGAGGTTTGGGCACAAAACAAACGGATCACCAAGGAGACTGCTCGTGAGTAGACAATGCTGTATATATTTAGACAGCCCATGGCCTCTTCTCAAATTGTCTACAGTATGTGCATTCGGGGACCATTTGTTTTTTGCCACGCGACGGTTTCGTATTGAAATATTGTAACGATGCAAAGTTCAAGGAGATGCGAATCATGCATATGGAGAGCCGTGAATAGTTCCCACAATACGGGTAGCTTTCAGTGGGCAAGAAATGGCCACTGGTTCAAGTGCCTGCATAAAAGATATTGAAGTTTGCACGCACAAATGTACGTTATTGTCCCTCCATTTTGTGTCGGTTAAACAGTGGCGTCACCAGACTTTTCAGTCTGGGGGGGGGGGGGGGGCACAGGGGGGGGGGGCACCAGCATTTGATGGGGGGGGGGGGCACTTAGGTGGATACGGATCGCCGTCCTGGGGGAGGGGTCTTTGGAAAATTTTCGCATACGGAGGATGGGCTAGATGCAAAATGGTGCGACATTTGATGCTAAATTCGATCTGAAGATATCTCCAGAAATTGCTATTTTTGCGGTAATGATTTTAACAACGCGCAGAATTTTGCAGAGGATAGGGGGCACCAGCATTTGATGGGGGGGGGGGGGGGGGCACTCGGGGGGGGGGGCACTAGGCTTTCCAGGGGGGGGGGCACGGCCCCCCCCCCCCCCCCCTGCCCCCCCCCCCCCCCCCCCCCCCCCCCCCCTGCCCCCCCCCCTTGGCGACGCCACTGCGGTTAAAATGACAAATTGAGAAACAAAGACCCGAATGTTTTTACCCCTGTTCATTTTCAATTGACCGCTTTCGCTTCTTGCTTTAAGGCCCATTTATGCGCATGCGCACATAAAGTATCAGTTATTAGTAAAAGGTCTAATCGGTCTTGGAAACTTTGGCAGCGCATGAGCTTGAATACAACGCGCCCAGAATCTCTTGCGGTATCGATGCTGAAGTACTAGAGACTGGATTTGATTCATCTTAAAGCGATCTCTAAACTGCCGCTACGGCTATATACCTTATGCGTAACAGCTATCTTAGAGGACAGTGCACTCTAAGATGGCCGCTGCGCATAAAGCCTATACCATGCTGGCTAATATAAAACAAACAAACGTTGGTGCAAGACCATATTCTCTAACAATCTGGCTGGTAATATTTTCCATTATGTTTGCATCCTCTTTCCCCCAGTAAATTTCAATATCCAACCTTGCCCTAATCCCCTTTGCTTACTCTGCACCAATTCACCGTCTCCCCGCCTCATCCCTCCCCTGCAGAAGTGGGACGAGCCCCTAGCAGAGATGGCCCAGGCTTGGTCCGCCGAGTGCGTGTGGGGCCACGGCCAGACCGAGCCCAACATTACCCCCTTCAAACAAATCGGCCAGAACCTCTACCGCATCAGCGGCTACGGCAATCGGCCTAGCGGGCGCGCAGTAAGCCAGGCCTGGTACAACGAGATCAGCTGGTACACGCTGGAGACGAACGCCTGCCAGGAAGGCAAGGTCTGCGGCCATTACACGCAGGTTGGTATGACCTTCCAGGCCAGCTCCTCCCAGATTAGTCTCTGCAAGTAGGCGTACATAACATGCACCAAGAATATGATTGCTCCTGTTAAGTTTTCTAAAGATGTTTGACCACAGTCCGACAGAACAAAAGAAATATTAAACTCTTGAATTTTGGTGAGTAAAAAGTCTAAATAGAACCCCGGATTTGGTGGACGGTACGAAAGTGTAGCTTTGATATAACACTGAAGCTCTGATAAGAAAGTGACGGCAACTTCTACGTTAACAGAGACAACAATACATTGTACCAGGCGAAGTACCCTAGTTCGGACACAACACTTACTTGCTTCATGTGGGTGGGATTGGGAGCCTGAGTGCGAGTTGAAAGGGACGGATTTCTTTGAAGTCCACATTCCATATCTTTGACACCAACTCTTTCCAATATTTGACCTTTCTCGCAATGGGCCTTATTCACGAGTTGGCCATTTTTGTCGAGTTCCATGAATGTATTTCATTAATTGTTAACTGTTGAATGGGATGGCGCCAGACTATTTATGCAGGCACTATGCAGTCTTATTTTACTATCGTTTTTTTTATATGGCTTTAAACATTAGGGAATGTTTAATTACAAGTTTTAAATTATTCATCGAAGCAGACTGGAATTTATTATGAATTAACTTGCCTTCATTTCTCTTCGCAAGTTCTAAAACTTAACATTTTAACTTAATTTCGATTCAATATGGCCGACTCGTGAATAAGGCCCATACAGCTCCCCCGCTCCCTTGAGTCGGCCTGCGATTTGCTTACACGACGGTTGAGCTGTCGGTATCAAGCGCAAATGCATGCTCATGCCACAAAACTAGCTCCATGACAAAACTGAGAAACAAGCGGCATGTCAACACAGAATAATCACTCAGGTCGCAAAAAAATCGGCGCATTTTGATCCTGTAAAGGCTAGTCGCACGGTCGATCTGAGGGAGGATGTATCCCCGATTTTTGTTTGTCACTATCGAATTGTCTTATTTATTTCCCTGCTTCACTTGACAGCTCGCATGGGCAAACAGCCACTTTCTGGGATGCGCCATGTACTTCTGTGAGAATGCCACTGGTGACGGCCGTGTACAATACAACAACGTGTGGATCGTCACCTGTAACTACGGCCCTGCGTATGTTTCATCGACATATTTACTGCCATGGTTTTGAAACTGACCGAATTTGTTTAAAATCCCTAAAAGACGAAGACAATTAAGACAAGTGTCACCGTGGGTTGGGAAGGCGCACCGAAAGATTAGGGGAGGATCTTGGGCAAGTCTCTGGTCCACTTTTCGAAGTCGTTCGTCCATTTAAACTTGAAAACCAATGCGTATACCATATACTAGCAACACAAGGGTTTGCCAATAAACATTACCAGTAGCTCCGTGACGTCACAGCCGTAATTCTTTTTCTTCGATTCCTCCCAGATAGGATGCAAGTCCATCTCAGGTTACTTCTCTGCTAATACCTATACCCATTTATACTCCTGGGTGGAAAGAGGCAGTCGCTTGCCCAAGGACATAATATAAAGGCTAGCAGCTGGATTCGAACTCCCGACCCGCTGATCATGAATTACGATAGTACGCTTAATACTTGGCCACACTCCCAACATGGCAGCTGCTTCAAAATGTAACATTGAAAATCAAGGACACCTTTGTCTTCGTGAGCAACTCATCTTTCCACTCTGATCAATTTTTTTTTTAATCAGTCTCTCGAATAATTTATCGTATACAACACTGATATGTTTGGTTTAGCAATTTTAATGACCCGTTCTTATTATTTTAGCGGGAATGTCAGAAGTTTGAAGCCGTACAAACCAGGTCCGAATTGCACGAAATGTGACTCGGGTGTAGGAGAGTGCTACAACAGCCAATGCCGTAAGTGTTTTAGTAGTTAATTGACGACTGCACGGGAATCGACAAAACAGTACAATAGTAATACTACAGGACCACGATCACATGCATATTTTTTGCTTGCTAAAAATCTATGGCGATGTCAGTACCACGATTTTTATGCACAACTTGCCATGAACTTGAAGTAGGCATCATTGAAATAATTATTGTGGCCTAGAAATTGCCCGATGTTTGTAACACCGTGGGGTACAAGTGTAAAAGTGTCGAATTTCTTTTTTTTTCTTCAAAACAATGTTCAAATTTCTTTATTATTTTTCTCTCCCTTTAGGCCCGTGCTCCGATCACACAGAGGATTGTGGTAGGTATTCAGCCGATCGTGACACATTAATCACGTGCAACAGATTATTATCCAAATCAGACTTGTATGTTTTACACTAACTATAATATTGTAAAAGTATGCCTTGGCCTCCATCATTGGCAATGATGGTGCCCACTTAGCCCATGTATCATTCACACAAATTAAAAGAAAAAGTTGTTATATTTTTTTTCTGCCAGTATGTGCCCAGTCGTGTGAGAGCTGTGGGGTATTGAACACTACATCATGCTCCTGCGTGTGCCCAAACGGTTTTCAGGGAACTGACTGCGCTGGTATGTTGTTGTTGTTGTTGTTGTTGTTGTTGTTGTTGTTGTTGTTGTTGTTGTTGTTGTTGTTGTTGTTTGAAGCTTGGGTTGGGTTGGGTTGAGTTGTCTTGGGCTGGGCTGGGTTGGGTTGATTTGTGTTGGGCTGGGCTGGGTTGGGTTGGGTTGAGTTGGGTTGCTTGGGTTGGGTTGGGTTGTTTTGGGTTTAGGTTGGGTTGTGTTGGGCTGGGTAGGGTTGAGTTGAGTTATGTTGGGCTCGGTTGGGTTAGGTTGGGTTGAGTCGGGTTGTGTTGGGCTTTGTTGGGTCGGGATTGATTGGGCTAGGTTACATTGTTCGGTTCTGTTGAGTTTCGTTGAGAAGGGTAAGGTTGGGTTGGGTTGAAGTGGGTTGGTGTTAATTGGTTAGGATGTGCTTTGCTGAATTGGGTTGGGTTGAATTGTGCTGGGCTGGGTTTAATTGAGTTGTGTTGGGTTGGGCTGGGTGATTTGTGTTAGGCTGGGTTGGGTTGTTTGGGTTGGGATGGGTTGGGTTGGGCTCGGGTTGGCTGGGCCGGGTTGTGTGAATTGTGTTGGGGACGGCTGGGTTGGGTTGAGTTTGGTTTGGTTTGGTTGGGTTGTGATTTATTGGGCTGGGTAGGTTGGGTTGTTCGTTTATGTTGGTTAGGGTTCAGAAGGGTAGGGTTGGGTTCGGTTGAAGTGGGTTGGTGTTGATTAGTTCGGTTGGGGTAGATAACTAATTTTGGCAAACTGTTACTAAGAAAGCTCAATTCTGATAACTATTAGAAACCATTAATTTCAGTGGTTTTAAAATTGGTTTTAAGTTTTGTTTTCTTGTTGCTTTATATCAAAAGATATTTGCAGAGACTTCAGCGATAAGTGCGGAATTCTCAATGGTGGATATCCGAAACCTTGGTGCTGGGAAGATGACACCGCAGACAATCAATTTATGGAGGCCACCTGTCCGGCAACCTGTGAACTCTGCGTTGGTATGTGGCTCTTTTTTTAATTAAGAAACGGGGTTTCACTGCATATGTTTCAATTCTTTTATGATAGAATGTCGAACATAGCATCTGATTTTACAGTTATATAAAATTAAGACCTTGTGAAGTATGGTCTTCCTGCACTTAACGTGCCACTAAGTTCTCACTGTTCAATTCACTCAGACTCGAACAATGGGGTGAGTCTGATTTTCACCAAGTCCAAATTTTACACTATACCTGTATGCATTGGTAACTATAATGTTAAAGTAACATGATGACCAATAAAGCTTATGCCCATTTAAGGAAACGTTCAGTGAGACGATTCCTCTTCGTCAGCAGGCTTGTCAATTTTAATGCGAGTTATTATACTTGAACACACGATAACCAGTGTGTTTATTCTAGAGTTCTCAATCAAACTTTTTAAATGATATAATTGAGGACTTTGGGGTCTGTCATAAATTATAATATCACTGTCATAAACCTCAGGTATGACTTTTTTATCCTCTTGTACCATATTTCTTTGATCACAGTCGAGCGGGATCCCGATTTCGAGTGCGAAGGTAAGCGTTTTGCTTTTCAATTTTTTTACATCATATTATGTAGGCCCTACACTTTACTACTATAGGTTTCGGTATGTATATTATAAATTACAGGATTTCATGATGTGAAGCTGCAGCATCGCACCAGGAAGCACTTCTTAATACATGTACCGCATCACCGTACGTTATCTCAAAAGCAGGATCCAAATTTATCTCAAAATATATTACAATACAATATAGTCATGTCATTTATGTTTCGGAAAAAGGGACCTCTGAACGATGTATCATGTAGATAGTATATCTTCCTGGTTTCATCAAAACTTTAAAGCGGGTTATAGTAACAGGGAGGTTATCAGTTGGACCCCAATGCTAATTAGTACCGTGAGAAGGAAAGAAATTATCAGACTACGTGTTACTGGAAGTCGATGATTTTGTTTGCTACCATATATTATTCAGGGGTGCCAACCCTCAGGCCACCGACGACACCGGCACTGCCGCTAGTGACCACCACACAGGGACCGTCGCCCAGCGAGGACTGCGTACCGCTTGAGTGCCAAAATGACGGGGTTTTCGACGAGGAGTCCTGCCAGTGTATTTGTCCCCCTCAGTACCAGGGTGCTCTCTGCGACCGTGAGTGCTGCTGAACTCTTGAATAAAACCTGATACTTTTCTGGGTCACACTGACACTTTTGCCAAGGTTATACAATGCAGGGAAATGATATTTTGACCAGGAAAAGTTTTATTTCTACCCTGAGAAAGATCAAAGAGAGGTCCAACTTTTTTTTAATCAATTTGGTATATATAGCTACAGTTTCCGCTTTTACCGTTAATTAGGAATCTTCCTTTTAACACTTATGTTAAAATCCAAATGGTTTGACAACAGTCGTATACATTCAAAATAACGCACATGTGTGGTGAACACAAATTTTGTACCGTAAGACTCGAGTCAAAATAATGTATGTACTTTGCTCGAGTCGAGTCGAGTCTTCTGATGAGGGACTCGAGTCAAGTCATTTGCTCGCAGTGTCTCGAGTCGAGTCATTTACCCTTGGGGACTCGATTCGAGTCGAATCACCAAAAATTGTGACTCGAGTCGGACTCTGGAGGAGGACAATATTCAATGAATTTGTCCGAAAACCCCGGGGAGTATATAAGGCGGCATTTTGATTTAACCTTGATTTAACATTTTGATTTAATTTTGATTTAATGTATGTACTTTGCTCGAGTCGAGTCGAGTCTTCTGATGAGGGACTCGAGTCAAGTCATTTGCTCGCAGTGTCTCGAGTCGAGTCATTTACCCTTGGGGACTCGATTCGAGTCGAATCACCAAAAATTGTGACTCGAGTCGGACTCTGGAGGAGGACAATATTCAATGAATTTGTCCGAAAACCCGGGGAGTATATAAGGCGGCATTTTGATTTAACCTTGCTCGCGAAATTCTGTTCAGCATGAGTTCTGTTCAGCATGAACAGAAATGCACCAAGGATTCCTTGACTAAGGCCGATTGTTCGTTTCTGCCAAACAGAGGAGCCTGAGCCAACCCAATGCCCCCAGCTGGAATGTCAGAACGACGGCAGATTCGATGAAGAGGCATGCACATGCAGATGCACCGGGGGTTACCAGGGCAAATACTGCCAGCGTGAGTTGAATTGGAGACATTTTTTTCTGTTGATTTTGAAATCTCAGCGGTTTCTAGTCGTTCGATGGTCAAAGGACTCGAGAGGGCGCAGTTCACTTTCACAAGACGTCATCATACCAAATTTGAAGTGAAGTATAGTGCTGATTGTGTTGATCAGTTCATTTTTTGGGGGGGGGGGCTTTCGTCTTCCACCCATGACCACATTTTTCATTAGAAAAAGATAGGATTTTGACCGTCATCACTTCCTGTTGGGGAGGGGCTTCCAAAGTTGGCTTCATGTCGTCTCCGGCCGACTGCGGATTCAGGGAATTTTAAGGGACGATCCTTTTCATAGTTTGCTCCTTTTTTTTGTACCTAGTATTGACCTGTATACTTGAGCCTACCAAAGCATATGGGCAGTTCTGTGCCACGGCCAGATCAATCGAAGAGGCAGTCGATGAAAGTTCTGATGCTAAATCGGTCAGAGGGTAACATTTTGAAACCAAATTAATATAACAATTCTTTTTATTACAAGTACTCAATCTCTTTCCTCATAGATATCCGAGAGGAGGCTGCTAATGGCGTTGTGATAATTCTGTCTGCTGACATCACTAAGGTGAGTACAGAATACCGTGCGCCACCAAGATTTTCTCTCTAATTGAGGCGCCACTTTCCAACCTCACGGTCAATTTCCTCCCGTCCATTATGGCTTACGGTACCACACAACAATCCATGAATGTATTTGGGAGCCCTGTTCATAAGCACCGTCAGAACTGATGTGAGACGAAAAGACGTCATATTGCGTACTTTCCTGAGAGCTAACCGGGTTATCAGGCCATAATATCCCTTTAAGAAAAGTAATGGAAGAACCCTTTTGCCACGTAAAGGCTAACTCTTTGCGCACGTGTATTGGCCTATGCAGTACGCAGCAAAGACATACCGATTAACCTTGTGTCTTCTCTTCCCAGTGGGGTGAGATGGAACCAGTTATAAAAACCAGCATCGCTGAAGCTTTGACGACGCACTGCAACGACAATTTCGAAGCGTGCTGCCCAGATAGGGGTTCAAAGACCACGTAAGACTGACTAAGACCTTTGCGTGGGGAAAAAACCTTCACAGGTGTCCCATGGGACCAATAGTCATACTTGAAAAGGACATCATGAATTTGGGGAGTGGAGTGATGACTGTGAGTGATTTTTCACCCTTAGTCCAAATGTGAATGCAAATTAACACGCAGCATTTAAGTTTATGAGTCAAAAAAGAAGTGGCTCATATTATCTTTGATTATAGATCTGGGACAACTGGGGGTATAGGTGGGCTCGGACATCCGGGAATTTTTTACATTAGCTTATCTAGCTCCATATGTTCTTGAAACTCAATGGTTCTTGAGTCTGGAGTGCTGAATGGTAACGCGTAGCAACCGATGAAAATCGACGTCACTCCGCCCCGATCTATAGACCAATATGCATGGTAACCATCCTATCTGAACAAAATCAATCACTTCGCTCTTACTAATCAATTGACTGGAATATATTATGCTCTCTGAGACCAGCTTTACTTTGCTTGCCTTGTCTTGTTTTATTCCCAAACTCAGTGAGGAAAATTTATCTTACGCCAACGAGTCCAATATCCTGGTTGCCACTGGATACCCCGAAGCGAGTCCAGACGCTAAGGGCGTCTTCTCCGCCATGTTTGTGGCCAGGGGGTTGGAGGAGGCGGAGCTCTGCGTCGTAGGCGGGTCGTCGACGGCTCGCAAACAGCGTGGATCTGCAACTGGACATGCTATATACTCGAGAGCCGCAACCTCAGGTACGGGATTTAATCAAATGCCGCAAATTTCAGTAATTGTGGTGTTGATTTAACAAACTCGGTTTTCATAATTATTGAACCACTGAGTAGGTAACGCCTTACTGATACTTCTCAGTTTTTTTCAGGGGTTTTCAATCATTCTTCTTAAACGGCACGCATGTGACGTTTCTAGACTGCATGCGAATGACAAAGGTCCATCACCGATGTTACTCAGTCTTGTTTCAAGACGTCCATGATTGATCGATCAAGTATCGTGCGCTTTTTTTTTCTGGATCAGTATAGTGCGCCCTCAAACTACCCCTATATTTTTAAAGTTTGCGATGATAGAGGGAATCACTTTCAAACCTAGCAAGCACATTACTAGGGTCAATACACGGGCCCGAGCCGGGGACCTCCTTAATCCCCCAACAAAACGCTTAACATAGGCCTAATTGTATTTCGTTCTTCGGTAGAAAAAATGTTGCCACGATATTAACTGGGCAAAGATTTGAAGTTCAGCAGGTATCCTCCAGAAGCGTTATTAGATGTTGGGTCTAAGGGGAGGATTGGCTATTTTTAATGAATAGGTTGCCCAAAGTTGTTAATCGTTCATCTTCTTCTGCCAAGTGGACTGTTGTTTAAGGTTTGTTCAGTATTAAACTTCTCAGGTATTTAGGTTCTTACAGGGGTTCAGTCCAGTTAGTATATTTTGGGTAGAAGTGGGTAAAATCTTGGGTGCAATTTTAACTTATCCCATGTTTCCCGCTGGGCCCACCAGGCGTCTACTTAGATCAAGATCTGCTCCTTGAAGTTATTCAAGCCTACAGTTCCCAGCTGACAAAGGACCTAGCCGACGCGGGCATCAACGCCACTATAGCCAAGGTGGAGGCCGGCAAGGTAGAACCACCGGACGTGTTGACCCCGAGCCCGCCGGCGCCGTATCTCGGCCTCTCGCCCGGTGCCATTGCCGGCATCGTGGTCGGATCGGTAGCCTTGCTGGCCCTGTGTGTCGGTTTGGTGGTCTTCATCGTGTGGAAGTAAGTACAG